TATAAAAAAAAATGTTAACCAAAAAAAAAAAGTTTGATATAGTTTCACTCTCCTAGAGAGTAATACGAGAAGAAAAAAAAATCAATAAAAAAGAAAAAAAAATACATATATATATAATTTTGGATCACCCTAACTATCCTCTACTTAAAAATAGTACGAGAAAAAAATCAAGAAAAAAAAATTATAGATATATACTATTTACAAAATTTTGGACCACCCTAATTATGACCCAACCTAATCTAATATTGGACCAGGGAAACAAGGGAGATACGATACTGGTGAACACAAAGCGACACGATATACCTATTGCACTGAGGCGGCAGATGACTGGTGCGATGCTATTGTTTGCCCCAACGGCTGTTGGGTCGATAACCTTGTAGCTGGTATGCCTCGGTCGTCTTGGTAGGCAATTTAACGTGCTTTCGTTGTTGCTATCAATGGGATGATGTGATGATGTGATGATGATAAGTTAAAGCTGGACCGTAATCAAAGCGCTCGGCGTATGATTAACGGCTTCCTCACTCGCGCACTAGCTGTATTAACACTAGGCCAACTAACTTTGGCGAGAAAAAACCCTCGCGTGGGGAAAAACTCAAAAACTCAAATACTAGTGTCGTACACCGTGTCGTAGCTTCCATTGAAATCGCAAATGATTTTCATCCATAAACAAAATTAATGGAATTCATCTGAATTTCACATAACATTTATGCGATCACGTTAATTTTATATGATTTTTCATATGAATTTCATCGGTCTCATAAAATTCATGTGATTTTGTGGTGAAATGTTTAGCTATGTGATCACATGAAAGCTATGTGAAATTCACATGGTTTTCATTCATTAGATATGTGATAAATTTTTTGAGTGTACCGATGCGACTTGACCGGCTCAGCGTGCGAGACGGAATGATGTTTTGGTTTTATATAGGGGAAATGGATGTAATGTCGGCCAAAATGCTCCTTATTTGGGCCCATACATAAATTCAGCAATCGACTAAATTTTCAATAGCCATCCGTCGTACCGTCCCAATGACGCGTTGATCTAGATAAAATTGATAAATAGCAGATTTTTAGCGATGGGCCCAATGTTGGATCCATAGGCCAACACTAGAGAAATTTTCCCTACTTTTCCTGCAATTTATCAAGCTTTTTGATCCCCAAAAACGTACAAAATAAGGCAAATTTCCAATTTCAAAAGTGAAAATTCTGATGTGAGTCATGTTTGACAGATGTTTTACATTTTTATCACCGCTACGACAACAGCGCCACGGGTGGCCGGTGGTTGGTTGGATTTCACTATTGCAGGGGGAGAGATTTGAGACCACTTCTCAACTACAGAAGTGAACAGAGGATATATTGATTTTTTTATTACATGTTTGAATATTAGGCACTGGTCATGAATGAATTTGGAAAAAAAAAATACGTTCCCTAGATGGATTTTAATATAGGGGAAAAGTTGGCTTCGGCAATACCTTAACCTATTATCGTCAGGGGGGTAAACAAAGTCCTAGAGCACTCAAATTTGGCCAATAGTTGCTCTGAAACACAATGTATCCACATGCCAAAATTGAGCTCTCAAGCACGTTGTTTACCCCCTGACGATAATAGGTTAAGGTATTGCCGAAGAGAACTTTTCCCCTATATTTTTTTAATGAGCCTGCGGCGCACCTGGGAAAGCTTCGCGGCGCACCAGGGCGTTGGATGGGAAGTACTGATCTAGACATTTTCTTCAGTGCATGAACTTAAATTCTCCGGTGCATTCGTCCATATACGTGTTCTCAAACTCTCTTCAAGTGTTATTATTTATTTTTCTGACGCATTTTTGAGGTTCTTTGAATTTCGTTTCGGTTCTCTAGACATACTGAATTTTCATATACATTTTCAAGATTTCCTATTTTTTTAAGTTTTCTAAAATTCTTTGAAGAACCGAAAACTGCTATAGTTGCCAACATTAGCTTGAGCTTGCTTGAGCTTGATTGACCGCCCACGGTTGCTACTCTGTTACTGCCAGATCAGCTGTAATTACACAGAGAACCAATAGACGATGCTTGGGACTAGCAATCATCCTCAATGTGTAAAAACTGGTGATCTTAAATTAGGCAATACCAACGCCGGCCGCGCCCGAACACAGGTCAAGAAAGGAATGGGAAGGATTGTGTTGACATGACACTCGCTTTGATGGAAGCCGAGAACACCTCTGCACTTCCACGAGGAATCACTGGGATGTTGGATAAGAGGGTTGGGTTTGCAGCAGGGTTCGTTTTGGTAAACGATAAGCTGAATTGATGTCCTAACGATCATATACCGCGAAGGAACTTGGGACTAAACCCACGGTCTTCTGCTCAGTAAGCAAAAACGTTTGCCACTAGGCAGACGAGCACCTTTTTAATCACCGAGTTGCTGTTATTACCATGTAGTCATATTAACAAATAAAACGATTGACGAATCTTGAATGTGGATGGGCCTGAGATTAGACTCATGATGTCCTGCTCAGTAAGCAAAAACGGTTGCTCTAAGGCCACCGAGCCCCTCATATCACATAATACCGTTGCTCAAATTTGTGTATCCATTCAAACCCGGAACCAACGACAACAACGAGTTTCGCAAAATACACGATACACAAGCGATTTTACCATAAATCTCTTTGATATGTAAGGACCTGGGACCGCGTTTTTCTGCTCAGTAAGCAGGCCACTGTAACCGACGATCTTTCAAATCCGAAAACTAAAAACTACGAAAAAGTACTTAGGCCTTCATTAAGTTCCACTTTCACGCGACGTTCAATGACAGGGTCCTATCCAGGATTACATCTGAAAAATCCAAACCTGGCCAACGCCCACCCTAAACCTAAACCTGTTCTAATCCACCTGAAATGACTAACGAATGGAAGACTTTGACTACCCAGCCATGCAATAGTCTCATTCCGTGCCTTATGGCAACTTGATGATTCTATTGCGCTCATCTTTTGGCACCACCCAGGGGAGACTTAGTCCTGTACCCAATGCTTAACTTATCTCCATTCCACTCAGCTACTCGCAATTTCTTGTGATATAGTGGGCGGAATATTATTATATGAGACAATTCAATACAGACGTCTTTCCAAATTTGGCAGATCGACAGGTAATCGGCGAGTTAACACGATAGTTGCTATTCAACAACTCGACAACGTCCCATCGTCAACGCCTGCTATGAGAATTTCCCATTGCAGACGCCAACGAAATGACGTCATCGAGCTATCGATCAACTACCCTGGTTATCGCCTGGTACCTTATAGCACGATGCTAGGAGGCGAATCGGAAGAATCGATGAGGTACCTCTCCCCCACTGCTATAGTTGCCAACATTAGAGCCATTTACCCTATGTGAAATTTTTCCAGCTACAACTTTGCTGAACAGCTGTGCCGGTGGTGTAGTGGTAAGCGTGATTACCTCTCACCCCAGCAGGCCTGGGTTCAATCCCAGTCGGCGCCGTCGGGATGTTCTGAGGCATAACATCCCTTCGGAAGGGAAGTAAAGCCGTTGGTCCCCGGTTCATGAGTTGATGGGTCGATAGGTAGGGTCCAGGTGTGGGAGCTGCCTTCCTGGCGTCGGTAGCATTGGTGCTCAGCACGGAAAACAAGATCGACGGAAAACAAACCAAGGAAAAAAAAAAAAAACTTTGCTGAAGACCACGCTTTGATTGAACGTTCTGAAAAATAGTTGTAGACCAGGATGCAAAAATGAATGAATGAAGGATTATCCAGTGAATGTATCCTTCACTGTGCTTTTTAACACTAACTGGAGGGCGTATTTTGTTCCATTTTCTTCTGTTCCTGGGAGAGGGAAAGGGAGGGGTCGAAATTCGAACATCCAGATAGTGTCAAAAAGCACAGTGATGGATACATTTATTCATACAAACAGGCCCCCATAGACCTTTTTGACGTTCAATCGTCTTTCTATATCTAGCACACATGGATGAATGAACGGTTTGTTTTCCCACTAATCTGTTTCCCTTTTGCTCGCACTCGTTCGATTTAAATGGTGCAGTAGTGTGCGCCGATTAAACGTCAAAAAGCTCTATGACCGAGCATGGAAAGCTGGATAGATTTATAAATATTTTAAACCGAAAATACTTTTCATGTAGCTTCCATTGGAATCGCAAATGCTTTTCATCCATAAACAAAATTAATGAAATTCATCTGAATTTCACATAACATTTATGCGATCACCTTAATTTTATATGATTTTTCATATGATTTTAATCGGCCTGATAATATTCATGTGATCTCGTGGTGAGATTTTTAGCTATGTGATCACATGAAAGCTATGTGGAGGGTCAAGTTTGTATGGCGGATCACAACCCCTTGTTCCCTGCTGCTCTTTCGATCAGTATTTAGATCCTCTACAACTGTGTCAAATTTGAACGTATTTGGCCACGATCTGGATATGCGGGAAAACTTAAATGTTTGCATGGGAAAATGTATGGTCATCACTATTCAGTTACTTGTCAATAATTTTTAAAAATGTTAAATTTTAACCAACTCTGACCATAGATTGGCATAACTATGCAGAAAAACTTTGTCCAAACCGATTCGACTTCTTTACAAAAAGTTTTTATTTTTACTGTAGGCCTAGTACTTCACGCATAAATATAAGCTCATATATATGCCTGTAGGTATACGCATAGCACATGACCTAGAGTAAAAGGGTAGTAACTTTTTGCCTAGAAGTCAAATCAATTTGTGATCTTCTACAAAGTTGTTCTGCATAGTTTTTCCAATCTAAGCTTCAGGTTTTATACCAATTTTTGAATGTTTGACAAGCAAATGAATAGTTTCGTTTCGTTTTCCGTATATATTCCCATACAAACCAACTTCGTTCGAGTTTGGCACAGTTGTTGGGGACCTCAATAAAGATCGAAAGAGCAAAAGGGAGCGGGGGGATGTTAAGATAACTCACCCTATTTTACATCGTTTTTGAGATCTCATACTGATGTCATTTTTCTAACTGTCTCCATTTGCAGAAAAATTCTTCCTATCGGAGCCTGAGTTTTTCGACAAAGTTCCATTGCACTTTTTATCCCACAAGGAGGTCTACGAAGAATCGGTCCGCAAAGCCACTGTAATTTTCCGCAAAGTGAAGCAAATGCAAGCCCAGGGCAAGGATGGCGTGGACAATTACATGTAAATCTATAGTTACCTAACTTTTCAGGATTAGAAGTTTAACTATTGAATTTTTCTACGTTTTAGGGCCCTTCTAGGAGGACTTCTAGGGTCTGGAATTCTCAAGGAAGGAAATCCTCTGGCTGTGCATTTTGTCATGTTTCTCCCTGCCCTGATGGGACATGGAACACCTGAACAACAAGCGGAGTGGATCGGGCGAGCATGGAATTGTGAAATTGTTGGAACCTACGCTCAGACTGAACTTGGTCATGGTACCTTTATCAGAGGTCTGGAGACAACTGCGACTTATGATGAAAACACCAAAGAAATTGTGCTGAACAGCCCAACGTTGTCGTCATACAAGTGGTGGCCAGGGGGACGTAAGTTACAGCATAAGGATTGTTTTGTAAATCAACCTAATGATATATTACTGTTACAGTTGGACATACCGCCAACTACTGTGTAGTAATTGCACAGCTGTACACTAAGGGCGTGTGCCATGGAATTCATCCGTTCATTGTGCAACTTCGCGATGAAGAAACTCATATGCCAATGCCGGGGATCACTATCGGAGAAATTGGCAACAAGTTAGGCATGAACGGAGTTAACAATGGATTCCTTGGTTTCAAGAATGTTCGCATTCCTCGTGCGAATATGTTGATGAAGAACGCTAAGCTGCTCGAGGATGGCTCATTCGTGAAACCGCCATCATCTGTATTGACATATGGTACGATGATGTTCGTTAGAGTGGTCATTGTAAGAGACATGGCCAATTATCTGTCGAAAGCGGTAACAATAGCCACCCGGTATTCTTGTGTGCGTCGCCAAAGCGTTATCAATCCAGAGTACGTGCATGTTGTTGTTCTCGAAAACAAAAAATCTGCAATAAATCGTATATATTATCTTATCTATTAACTCAAACAGCCAGCCAGAAGTACAAGTCATCGATCATCTTACCCAACAGTACAAGCTATTTCCAGCGATCGCTAAAAGTATAATCTTCAAACTAACTTCCGATAATTTGTGGGACATGTATAACCAGGTGACGTCCGAATTGGATAAAGGAGATCTGGAACGACTACCGGAGTTGCATGCGATCGCCTGTTGTTTGAAAGCAGTGTGTACTGCAGATGCCGCGCAAGCGGTTGAAACGTGCCGTTTGGCATGCGGCGGTCATGGCTATATGACATGTTCCAATCTGTTTGGTACATACGGTATGGTCACTGCTGCGTGCACCTACGAAGGTGAAAACACGGTGCTTCTGCTACAAACAGCCAGGTAAAAATACACATACGTATCATATATTCTACTGTGGCCTTGAACTTAGATAACCCTATTGAATTCACGAAGTAATCATTTATCAGTAAATGGAATGAAGTGACTTGCCAAAAACAGGAAGGTGTTGGATTTGCTATTCCTTCCTGCTGTTACACTCATATCTGTCCTATGTTCTTTCCTCCAAAATACATTGATTTAACTCAGATGACATTTGAAACGATTTCAGCTGGTTCGGGGCTATTCATGAACCACGTGTATAGTTTAGCGGGAATAGGCAATTTTTTTACGGTTCATATATTTTTTAAACCTAAAAAATAAATAAAGAAACTGTCATCGGTACAATCATTATTCGCTCGTTGGGGGTTTTCTCGTCGGGCTGCTTTTTAGATGAGAGTTCGCTAATTGGGTGACGTCTCAACTCTCCCAGGCCTTGACATTTAATTATTGTTACTTTAGAATAATGAGCTGTTTTGCATGAAAAACTACAGGTGAAAACGGTAAAAGTTAAGATTTCATGAATGGGTCTGAAAACTTTACTGCCGCTCATCGCAAGTCTTTGTATTTTTGTAAAAACTGAGTTTAGTACTGGAAGAACTCAACTAGAAAAGTTTGGAAATACAGGCAAACACGGGTTGTCCCATTACATAAGAAGCAATGCTACGAAGCAAACTTAAAACGCGTTTTTCTCTGCTTGCTGTGATAAGGGACAGACTTCCATGACAGGCAGTTTAGGACAGGCCCAGTGCGCTTCTATTAGAGATAAATAATGGACTCACGCCGTATCCGAAGTGGCGGATTATTCAACATTCATCTACCTCGGGGTTTTCTACACCATAAATTATAGCAAATTTGTTTTTGATTCAGTTCCAACCTGGATCGGGTATCAAGATTGGGTCTGCTCGTTGGCTGTCAAACATCAGTGTGAACGTTTGTTTTTGTAACCTGGCTCGGGTTGAGGTTCGCACTGATAATAATCTCGGGTTTGCACTGGTTCCAACCTGGATAATAAACACATTCTCTATTAGTTTGGGTGCTTATATTCTTAAATCGATTGATTTTAAAATATTTTGAACCGGCGTGTGTCCTCAAGAACAGGTGCAGTTACTGTAGGCTTCGAACTTAGGCCCCTGGCAGAGTGAATGCGAGTGACCGAGCGGACAAAAGATTTTATTATTTATTATTCTTTTTGCTGTTCGGTCGGCTTGATGCAAAAACAACAGTTATGTATATCAATGAATAACGCCAAAATATAAAGCAATGAATTTGTGAACCTGAAAACTCATCGGTGATTTTTCCGCAGTTGAATTTTGCAAGGCACTCATAGGCGAATTTATTCACGCATGAGATTTGAGTTTTTGAGCTTTTCGAACACTGGGCCTTAGACTCAACGAACTTTGAGGACAAATTTAATTACACTTTTGTAGCCGTCTTGGTGTTATTAGCGGTAATGAACCATTTAGTCATGGCTATTTTCACGCAAATGACGCCGTCCCATTGGTGGTAAGTAATAAAAATCCCCATATAGAGATAAGTAAAAGTGGAAATAATACGCTTTTGATGCATATTCTGGTCAAAAGAAGTTGACGAAAACCTAAAAAAATAACTTTGTCGTTCCCTTTTTTCCTGGGAATTATTGTTAAAATAAAGAGCCTGAATTTATAAAGAGACGACATGTCATAATTGGAACAATCGATTATCTGCCAAAGTCATATGAATAGTCATTGCAATCGAGCAGAAGTTCTGTAAAATAAATAAAATGTCGCCTCTTTATAAATTCAGGCTTTTTATGTTAAACAAGTTACAATTGAATAAAAAAGGTTTTGTCCCATACATTTTTTAACCACTTTACCACCGACAAACCGACATGAAACTTAACTCTTGATCGAGAATTTATAACGGCAGATTCAAATGTGCAGCGATCCCATCTGTCAAAACCATAGAAAATCTAGATAAACATAATTTGCCCGCAGTAGATTAGACACGAACCAACTCATACATTTTGTATGCCTGTTTGTGGCTAGGATACACATTATTCGTGAACACGGCGGCAGATGTCAGTTTTGTGCTTTGATCAGAAATTTGATGATACCACAGACAAACAGACATAACACTCGCAAGTTCTTCATCGAACAGGCATTTAACGGTCAATTTAAAAGTATCGTAGTTGGTAGTACCGCCACCTGTGGCGCGCATAGTCAATTCCCTTGCGTTTGACGTTTACACACTACCACCATCTGTTCAGCGTACTACCCACCACAGTGTACTCAACAGATGGCGGTAATGTTTTTTTTTTTTTTTTTTTATATTAATTTATTTGTACAGGCTCAATCGAATAAACTTTACAGAGCCGAGTTATCATTTTCATTATACATGATTATTGTCTTAAATCTAGAGTTAAAGGAATTGAACCGATTACTCGCGGTCGTCTCGAGGTTAGTGGAGATTTACAATTTTTTGGGTGGGGAAAGGGAGAAGGAGGTTTGAAATATGATTTATTATACAAATATTTAATTAATCCTAAAACATGAACTTATTTCTATTCATCTTGAAAACAAACATTAAAAAAAAACTACACGCACAATACACAAACTAAACACAAGGTTAATCAAACTTACAATCTAAGGTTAGTATTCTTAAAGTAAACATATATGAGTTTCATAAACTCCAGGTCACGTCTAGCCAAAATATCCCGAACTGGAACATTAGGTTGTCTACCTCGAGCCCGAAGGGAATCGCACAGCTCAGATCTGACTCCACGATGCTCAGCACAAGACCAAAGGATGTGATCGGCGTCTTGGTAACCTTGCCCACATTCACAGATTGCTGTCTCCCAGCCCAACACGAAACAAGTGAGCGTTTAACGAATAGTGATTGGACATGAGGCGAGACATCAGACGAATGAAGTCTCGACCCACATCCAACCCCTTGAACCAAGGACTCTTCGACACCTTAGGGATGATCGAATATAGCCATCGTCCCAAACTCCCTTCACTCCACTTATTCTGCCAGCTGACGAGTGACTGTTGACGATAAATGAAGAAAAATTCATTGTAGGCGATTTGTCGATCGTAAATATCGCCTTCCATAGCGCCCACCTTAGCAAGTGAGTCCGCCTTCTCATTGCCCGGAATCGAGCAATGAGATGGGACCCATGCAAAGGTGATGACAAAAGATCTTAAAGATAAAGCACTTAAAAGCTCTCGTATTTTCATGAGAAAATACGAGGAGTGCTTTACCGGCCTCATAGAGCGAATAGCCTCGACAGAACTGAGACTATCCGTAAAAATAAAATAATGATCTGGTGCAAGTGAGGCGATCGTTTCTAGCGTATAATATATTGCCGCCAGTTCAGCAACATATACGGAACAAGGAGCTTGAAGCATTCGAGAGGCGCTATGAAATTCGTTAAAAATACCAAAACCAGCGGACGACTCTATTAGTGATCCATCTGTGAAGAACGATCTTGCGGAATCAACTTGGCCAAACTTTGCAGCGTAAATTGACGGAACAATCATGGAACGATGATGTTCTGGGATTCCACGAATCTCCCGCGTCATAGATAAATCAAAACTAACTGAATTGCCGAAGTCGGAGAAGCATACACGATGGGGATTATGCTGTGAAGGGCTGACATCCTGAGTTATGTACACGTAGTACAATTACATAAAACGAGTTTGAGGGTTTAGCTCAAGAAGCTTCTCAAAGTTTTCGATTACCAGTGGGTTCATAACTTCACAACGGGTGAGGAGCCTGAGGGACAATTCCGAAAACCGATCCGATAGTGGCAACATGCCCGCCAACACTTCGAGACTCATCGTATGAGTCGAGTGCATGCATCCTAACGCGATACGAAGACAGCGATACTGGATACGTTCCAGTTTGATGATGTGAGTTTTAGCCGCCGACTGGAAGCAAAAACTACCGTACTCCAAAACCGATAAAATCGTTGTCCGGTACAACGTTAGAAGATCTTGCGGATGAGCTCCCCACCACGTTCCGGTAATTGTTCGGAGAAAATTGATCCTTTGTTGGCATTTTCGTCTCAGATACTCAATGTGGGATCTCCAGGTGCATTTGGAATCGAACCAGACCCCAAGATATTTGAAAGACATGGACTGAGTGATCGGCTTACCCAAAAGTTGAAGCTTCGGTTGTGCTGGGCTATGCTTCCTAGAAAAAACGACCAACTCAGTTTTCTCCGAGGAGAATTCGATACCTAGCTCGATAGCCCAAGTAGACAAATTATCTAAGGTATCCTGTAAGGGTCCTTGCAGGTCGACCTCTTTGAGCCCTGTCATTGACACTACTCCGTCATCTGCAAGTTGTCTCAACGTGCAGTTGTCACTTAGACAATTGTCAATTTCTCTGACGTAGAAATTATACAAAAGGGGGCTTAAACATGAGCCCTGGGGGAGACCCATGTAACTAAATCGAGAAGCTGTAGAGTTTCCATGAGAAAAGCTCATATGTTTCTCTGACAGCAAATTGTACAAAAAGTTATTAATTAATGGGGAAAGGCCACAAGCGTGGAGTTTGTCTGAAAGGACTTCAACCGATACTGAATCAAAAGCCCCCTTAATATCCAAGAACACAGAAGCCATTTGCTCTTTTTTAGCAAAAGCCAACTGGATTTCTGTGGAAAGCAACGCGAGACAGTCGTTCGTTCCCTTACCCCTACGGAAACCAAATTGAGTATCTGAGAGTAGGTGGTTCGTCTCAACCCATTTGTCGAGGCGAAAAAGGATCATTTTCTCCAACAATTTTCGAATGCACGATAACATCGCGATGGGACGATACGAGTTATGATCTGACGCGGGTTTTCCAGGCTTTTTAATGGCTATAACTCTCACTCGCCTCCAATCATCTGGAACAATATTGAACTCCAGGAACTGACAAAACAAGTTCAACATGCGCCTCTTAGCGACGTCTGGGAGGTTCTTCAACAAGTCGAACTTGATCCTATCAGCCCCCGGAGCCGAATTGCGACACGAAAGGAGCGCGAGTGAGAGCTCCAGCATTGAAAAAGGCTGGCTGATCTCGTCTACCGAATTCGTCGTTTCGCGAGGAATCATCTGTGCCGGCACGGAATCAGGACATACTTTTCGCGCGAACTTGAGAATCCACCGATCCGAGTACTCCTCGCTCTCGTTGTTTGAAGACCGGTTACGCATCCTTCGCGCCGTGTTCCAAAGCGTATTCATCGACGTTTCGCGCGATAAACCGTCCACGAATTGCCGCCAGTATCCGCGTTTCTTGGCTTTGATGAGGCTCTTGAGTTCGTGTTCAAGAGTCGAGTACGCTTCGAAATACTCGGGTGTTCCGCGATTCCGGAAAAGCTTAAACGCGTCGGACTTTTTACGATAAACCTCAGTGCATTGCTGGTCCCACCAAGGGGTAGGAGGTTTCCTACGAAAAGACGTTCCTGGAACCGGCCGAGTTTGAGCTCGAAGCGCGCTGTCCAAGATCAGATTGGAGAGGAAGTTATATTCCTCCAACGGTGGAAGCTCTTCTACCGACGACACGGCTTCATCTATCGCGGTCTTGAACGTTTTCCAATCGATATTACGGGTGAGGTCGTACGCGACGTTAACGGGTTCCGACGGATTGAACCCACTGGCAATCGAAATTTTGATCGGCAAGTGATCACTACCGTGGGGATCCTGGATCACATTCCACGTGCAATCCAACGATAATGAATTAGAGCAAAGTGTGAGGTCTAATCTACTTCCATTTGAGGATGGACCAGCCAAACGTGTTACTTCTCCATTGTTAAGAATTGTCATATTGAAGTTATCACAGAGGTCATATATCAAAGTAGAACGGTTGTCATCATACAGTTCCCCCCAGCCTGTACCGTGGGAATTAAAATCTCCCATTATCAACCGTGGAGTAGGAAGAACTGAACAGATATCTGAAAGTTGTTTTTGACTAATCGAAACTCGGGGAGGAATATACACAGAAGCAATACAAAGGCTCTTGCCTTTAACAAAAGCCTGACATGCGACAACTTCAATACCTGGAAATTGTGGAAGATTCACTCTATAGAAGGAATTTCACTTTTTGATCCCCAAAAGTACTCCTCCTCCACGCGAATCCTCACGATCCAGTCGAATAATGTTAAAACCATGAAAAGGAAGATCGATATCTGAAGAGAGCCAAGTTTCACATAGAGCAAATGCATCACAATCATTATTGTGAACCAAAAACTTAAACGATTCTATCTTAGGAATAAGACTTCGACAATTCCACTGTAGAACAGTGATCAAATCCTCGACCTCGTTTGGAAAATTATCCATCGAAGGAGATGATTGCTGCAAGGAGGGGCCACTTCAATGTCAACTGCTTCAAGAGGGTTTTCACAGTAGGAAGCATTGCCAGAACAATGCTTTTCAGAGGATCAGAAATATCGAGGTAATTGAGGATACTGTCCACAATGTTATCAAATGAGAACAACCCAGATGAAGAAGGGGCTTGTGTTCTGAAAATTGGGGCATCGGGGGTTTTGGATGTCCCCGGGAGAGGTGGAAAATCCTGGGTATAATCAGTTCTGCGGAATCCAGGAGGAGTAGAAGTCTCCTTTTTTCCACCACTCCTTGATTTGGGCAAGCTGATTTGGGGTTCTTGATCTGCAACTTTCCGCGAACGGATGCGTTTTCGTTTCCGGGCAGAACCTTCCGGAAAACTGAAAGAAACTCCCTCCTCAGCCAAGTCAGAGCCAGACTCGTCATCTGACAAAAGAGCGAAGGGATTTGTTTCGTTGGTCGATGGCTTGGCTGTCTTAAGCATTTCTGCAAAAGACCGCCTGGAACGTTCTTTAAGAGAGCGCTCTAGTTTTTCCCCGCGTTGTTTGTACACCGGACACGACGAGAGACCATGGGGAGGAGATCCTTTGCAGTACACGCATTTTGGTGCCGTGACTGTGCAGGCGCCATCCTCGTGCTTCTCCCCGCATTTGGAACAGCGTGCCTTGCTGCCACAGTGGGACGCCGTATGTCCCAACTGCTTACAGTTTTGGCAGTTCATGACCCGGGGAACGAACAAGCGCACAGGTAGTCGAAGTTTTCCCAGCTCGATATACTGAGGAAGGGCTGAACCAGAAAAGGTCACGCGAAACGAGTCTGTGGGGGTAAAACTCTTTTTGCCCTCGCTGACAGATACTGAGCCCAGTTTTTGGACATCCAGTATCTTCACCGGGGGGAGCAAGGGGTTCTTGAAACGGCCAACCGCCTGCTTCTCCAAGATCTCGGGGGTCAGACTCGCTTCGGTGACCACACCTTCGATTTCCACATCACGAGCTGGGATGTAAACTCTGTACTCGAGCGTGAAGAGCTGGGAGGCAGCAAACTCGTTAGCCTGCTTCAGGTTAGAGACGGAGACACGAAGTTTATTGTGCCTAACCTTCGTGATTTCAGTCACGGCCGAGTATCGCTTCGTCAGATCAGTGGAAATTTGCATCAAGTTCAAAGGTTTGTTTTTGGGCTGAAAGTAGACAACCCATGGCCCAGTCGAGTCATCTGGATAGGCTCGCGATCGGGGGCTTTTCTGAGACGAACCATGAATGACAGGACGTTTTCGTCTTTTCTTGCCATCGAGTGGCAAACTGGTGTCATCTTCCGACAAAATGTCCATATCGTCTTCTGACGAGACGTCCATTTTGCCGTACTAGTGGGAGCGGTAAACGCTCTACCACTGAAACGATGCTTAAAACCACACAGACACAATAAACAGAAAAAAAACTACAGACACAGAAACACAAAATTAAATTTAACTGATGGGCGAGAGAAAGAAACAGGAAAAAAAAACTTATCTGCTATACTACTACCACCGAGTGATTACACAGCAGCAGCGGAGCGACGCGCAGCGTGGGTGACCTTCGATGCGCGTGTGCGGGCGATCTTTGTAGTGGTGTGCTTGTATTAGGCTCGGCACTCAGCTGGACACACGATGATGGATGACCGGTATAAATGCGGAGGCAGATGCTGACACTCGATGACGATGATCTGTGTGCAGGTATGCGTGATCACGCACCGATGGTGCGCAAAATGGTTGGCGAATTGGCAATCGCAAAAACAATTTTCCTTCCGATGATGCCGAAAACACACTTTCTTCTCAGAAAAAAACTCACTTTCAGATAATTGTTTAGCCGGGTACTATGCCAGTAATCACTAAGCGAGAAAAAACTGATAATTTAAACCAACCGAATACCGAGAAAACTTCCGAAATACCGGAGCGCGAAACAAGTCGACTGTACTTCTTGCTAGGTCGCAGTGGGATGGCGGTAATGTTTTAGCGACGATGTTTTACAGTGAGAAATATTCAATGTGTTATGTCTGTTTGTCTGTGATGATACTATTCATGTCGGTTTGTCGGTGGCCTACCAGTCCACCAAAAAATTCAAATTTGAGAAAGAAAATTCTCTCTTACGAGCTCACTCTCTCAACATTCCATGTATTTTGATGACACTCGATTTGTGATTTCCCTTTCACAGATCACAAAATAGAGTACCTGACACTACAAAACATGTCTGGTACCTCTATATATGCAGTTACACACTCAAATTTTTTTGCCGAGATGGGCACCACCGAGCAGCTCGGTATTTTGTTTTGCTGGATCTCAGTTAAAATTGTTGCCAGTTCGTACGTGATACGTTTAGGATGATGTGCTTTTGACAGCAATTAATGATCTGGAGAAGAATGTATTTGTGAATCACAAGAATGCACAGAAATGGGTTTTTTTAAACAAAATTATTTGTTTTTGATAATAATCAGCAGTGATAGATCACTCTTATTAGGATTTTTCAATAATTTTTATTATAGGATGCTAACATAAAAGCCAGTTGGATTTTCAGTTAACCCATCGTAAAAGAGATTGTTTAATACTATTAATCTCCCTATCAAAATGCAAAATTTCCGCACCGTAGAGCCACACTCTATCTTTTCACTGAAGGTGCACTCGAGGTCGAGAGCACTCTCAAGTGTACCTTCAGTGAAAACACAGAGTGTGGCTGTGCGGTTTGTTTGTAACATTTGTATGAGCCGTGGCCATTAAACAACCCCCTTCCTTCCATAGTTCACGTGGTATATAGACATTCCCTAACAGGAAGATGACTGATCCCCGTCTCTCTCTCTCTCTCTACAGATCTTACTTTGCACCATATACTTAAACCAGCACCTCAATTTTTTTCAGATATTTACTTAAGGTGTGGACTCAGGCTCAGAAAGGACAGGAATTAGTTCCCACTGTGCAGTACCTGCAGAACTTCCTCTCTAGCAATCAACGCCAATCGTGGGATGATTCGGTGCCCGGAATAATTAAAGCACTTCAAACCGTGGCTGCTGGGTTAGTGTCTACGTCCTTAGAGAACAAAAAAATACATACCTACCATTAACTTTTCACATTCATGAACGAATTACAGAAAACTCCGCCTAGCCAGTGACCATATCGAACAGCGCAAGCGAACAGGCCGAACACCGGAGGAAGCCGTCAACCTGACATCGATAGAATTAGCACGGACAGCTGATGCTCATTGTCGTGCTTTCCTGGTCCAGTCTGGATACGAGATGATTGAAAAATCTTGCGCAACCATTCCACCCGAGTTGGCACGTGCTTTGAGAGATATCTACGAACTGTACGCATACGACGAGGCTATGAAGGTGGTCGGCGATCTACTGAGAGTAAGTGGGAAATGGATTCGCTGAACTGTTACAGATTAACCAACAAAGTGTACTGCATTTTCAGTTCACGACCATCACGGAAAGTGATATTTCACGACTGCAGCAAAAATTGGAAGATTCCCTCGCTGCTATGCGACCAAATGCTGTCAGTATTGTTGATTCGTTTGACATTCCAGACACGGTGCTCGGATCAGCACTTGGTGCATATGATGGAAATGTCTACGAACGCCTCTTCGAAGAGGCCAAAAAGAGTCCCCTGAATCAGGTAAAGCGTACCTTGTGTTACTTTTTAATACGTAAATTTACCGGTTCATACATTTAAATTCCAGGAACCAGTCAACAAATCATTCCATTTGTATCTTAAGCCGTTCATGAAGTCCAACTTGTAATTCGGCAGTAACACTATTGTTTGGCAGCGGATAAGTAAAAGAGTCTTACTTGATCAGGTTATGGTGATAGAAAATCAATTGTTAATCCATTTTATGCACATTTACCTTTGTGTTCTTAACGCAAAGCATTGAGGTGATATATTTTAATTAAAGTTATACCATTTTCGTATAAATTTTGATAAGGGAACCGTCCTGTTTTTACCGATTAGAAATGAAGAAGAATCCTAAAAGATCTTTGGCCGGACCGAGAATCGAACACACTGTCTTCAGCATGATTCGTTCGCTCAACGAATTTGGCTTAGTCCAGTGCAGCAATGAGGTTCTGTCTTGTAGCTAGTTTTTCAATTACCTGGCTTTGTTGGTATGCTGTTTGATTCTGATGTCTAAAATAGGGTCAAAAAAGGATAGTTGCTTTAAGTATGTATTTTTTTATCCGAAATCTCATGTATAGAGGGAAGTCTGATGAGCACCACACACTGAAAGTCACAACGTTGCAAACCATCTTTAGCGGGTGTAGTGTCGAGGACCATAGGAGAAGGAAGGAAAACACGTCGTTATCGGTTGCTTTCTAAAACACCTGTCTTTATTCTTTGTACTCTTTTACATCAGTCAACGCAGACGCCTGAGCCAACAGGTATAAACTTTCCCACATAATGACTAATTAAAAAAAATTGCGAGTTACTTCTTCGGAAATGGCTCTCGAAAATTACGAATTGACTCCAACTTATCTGTGTCGGGTCTAATCCCATTAGTAGACAAAATATGCCCCAAAAATTTCAGTTCTGTTACTTCATATAAACATTAAATATTTATATGGAGTAACAGAATTGAAATTTTGGGGGCATATTTTGGCATCGTTTAGTTTGACATTTATTTCTTGTAGCTTACAACGTACCTTCTCCAACCATATATCATGTTCCTGTTAATCACAGCCGTGTAAAATTGGCGTTGACGGCGACTCTGTAGCTCTTTACTCCTATGATAAAATCCATAAGCAAACGTCAGACTGTGCGTGAAAATTCATAGTCTGGCCGATAGAATTTCGATCTATCAAAAAGCGGAACCAATTCAATATATTTTAGACCAACAATTGAAAAGGTTCTATCAACTTCTATAAACAAAACGTTGATTATTCTTTCCAACCCAAAGATTTGCGTAGGCGAGCGATTATATAATAGCATTACTATACTACAGTGGGGTATATGAAAACGACGTATGGACTTTGCGATTGTTTACAACTTTCATTTCATTTGCCGGTTTGGGACTGTCGTCGTTACTTGTGAAATGGAGACTACAGAGATAAATAGATTTAAAGACACCATTCACACGCGAAAACGAATGGTACAATGTAACAAGTACGCTTTTGCATTTATTTAATTAATTATTTATTTGCACAGAATTCCTATTTATACAATTTTCCACATTTAATTATATTGCATTAACTTTCGTTTTTCAAATAAATCCATAAATTTGTTCACCGCCAAGGAACGAACATCCACTTACGTAGAGTTACACTTGTCATACAAAAAAAAGTAATGAGTTCCCTACGTTCAGATTGAAGCGCAAATTCAAATATTATAAAGCCTGTCGAGCTTTCCGACGCTACGAAGTTACAGCGTCGTAAGGTGGACATCGACCCGCCAGATTTCCATTGAAAATGCAATGACCTTTTTCCGTTCGGCTTTGCGCACACCTACCGAATTTCGGGGAGAGAGATGACTGGACTCTAAATAGTCCGTTGGAAGAGATGCTGCAAGGCACTAATAATCGGGTGCACAATTGCGAGAGTTTGGTGGTCGTGAAATTGGGTGTCGTACAAGTTCGCGACTTCCCGGGCAAAGGTCACAATCTAGCGGCTATCTGAGGAATTCTTCAGCTTTGATCGTCCACTTCGAATCGATCTGTGGAAGAGGCAAGAGTGGTCGGTGTTTTGTCTCGTGTCGTGGTGTGATTAAAAAGGTAGTTTGCGTCATGAACTTTCTTTATTAGATTGTTAATTTCAATTCTTTCTCAGTAGTGTTAGCTTAGTGTAAAACCCTAGCAAGCTAGTTAGTTTAAATTCTTTCAACTCGCGGAGCGGAATAAATAAACTAAACAGCAGAGTTTCTTCGAGTACTACTTTACATAAAAGCAGCTGTTTGGTTTATTCAGACGGTTTATATAGGTAGCTTTTCGTGTAGTTTACAATCTATCTTTGTTGCACACTTTCGTTCGTCTCACTGGGGGGTTCGGACTATTTCGCCGAATAAAATAGAACTCCTACAGTTAGGCCGTTCGCAATGCTGAGTTTCAAAATTGTTTCAAACTACTCGTCAATTCTATAATTTGAAACTGTCAAAAATAAAACTGCAACACGATCAGCGCAACGCACAGTTCTAAAACATGTTTGTAATCATCAAGTTCCATAAACTTTACTGTTCTCTATGAAGTTCTCCGTTTTTTTTTGTGGAGCTCTTCGAAACATCTTCAACACATCCAAAGAAATTTGAAACAGAGTTCCATTCGTGTTTCAAACTTGCTCAGAAATAAAACAGAATAGTCGAGCAGTTGCAAATCTGGTGCAAAATAGTGCTCGAATAATGAAACTGCAACTCAGCATTGCGAGAGGTGCGTTTCTGTTCTAGTTTCAAATTGAAACAGTCCTTATAAAATGCAACAGCATTGCGAACGGCCTTAGTAGGCGGCAAAGTGTGTGTCTCGAAGAAAGTACAAGGTAAAGTGAGCGTTTATCGACCGTTAGACCAGGTCAACTTATTAGCGTGTGCGTGCGGGTATAATCCAACAGGTTCGTGGCAGCGGAGGCCATTTGCCGTCACACCACCCTATTGTCAGAGACCGCTTTTGACCCCACCTATCGGTTTCGGAGGATTCCCGGGGCACACGTGGCCGGAAGAGGGTCGCTATCGTCAATTTGCGCGCCCTGGACAGGCAGGCCAATACTCGTCCCATCTATAGTCATCGAACAACAGAACAACATACGTTGCACGTGTTTTAGTGTTCGGACGATCGAACGCATGTGCCGCGTTCAAGCGTAAGCCCGCGTTTCCGGTGAGTGAGACATTTCCAGCATCAGTCGATCGCATCCGCGATAGTTTCTGGGCCGAAGTAGTGCAATACGCAGCTTCGGTACCGCCGCCGCCTCCACACCCATAGCACCGATGTAATTCCTAGGTTTTCGAGTGAGTACATGCATGTATATTTTTCGTTGTGAACGTCCATGCGCATGAGACAAACGAAAGCTTCGCGAAACATAACCGTCTCATAGAATGGGTTACCCGAAGCCATCCGTCGGCCCATAAATTGTGCCATTGAATGGGTTAAACGTGAAACCGAGAAACACCAGGAGAGCAGGAATCGTACGGAGGAAACTCGCACCGAACACACGTATGGGAGTAGAATGAATAGTGCACACGCTAGGGAGTAGGATAGATGGTATGATAGAGGGAAAGGAAAGAACAAAGACCTAGGCAAACAGACATGTAGGGAGCAGGTGAAATACAATCCGTACCGAATAAATAGGATGGGAGCTTTTCTCTTAACTTTGTAGTTGAGCTTTGCTAGTACGGTGACAATTGTCATGTTCCGTAATAAATACAGTTAAGCCATGGTTTTTTGGGTAGCGTACCATTGATGAACTGCCGAGTTAACTTCTTATGAAGGATTTTCATGTCGTTTCGTGTTCGTTTCCTGTAGTTTCGTAGAGTCAATTTACTGGGGAAGTCAGCCCTGAATCTGACATTTATTGTGCCGGCAACTCTCCAATCTTTTCGGATTGGTTCGTTTGGACTTTCAGGCTGGGCCTGTGATGAGAACATCCCCTAACGAGATTTTTGGTTCGGACGAATTGTCGGTCTTGTGCACACGTAATTGTTAATGTTTTGTAGAGTTTCTGGACAACAGTAATTTAAGTCAGCCAGTCAGCTTTCTTCCCGTATTCGGGACATATTGACCCAATCCCTTGGATGGTCTCAGGCCGGGCAAACCTACAATCTGCTGGGTGGTCTCCTTCTAGGAGTGGCGCTTAAGCCACCCATCTAACGAACGGAAAGCTTGACGGGCTGGCGGGTTACAACAATTAAAAAGTAGAATGGTCTGTGCCTCGGGACACGAACGGAAGTTTGACGTAGGACCGCTAGTGGACGAAACAAATATGTTGAGCCTTTAGTTCTTTTAATTGATCGATAATCTATTATCTTAGCACTTTCCGTTTTTGAATTGATGGCCCTGAAAAGGGCCGGTTGTTTTTCGAATGGTTGCCCTGAGAAGGGCCGTTATTTGTTTTCTGGTGTTCTTTTGATCGTTTGGGACGGCTACCGTGTAGCTGATGAAAAAATAGGTATTATTGATATCTATAATTTTAAAAGTTTGTTTGTGACATGAAATTCTGTATGATGATAATACTACTTACCTTTGTCAGAAAGTATAGGCCGATGATAAGAAAAATAGGTGATGAATACTTTACATCTAAGATCTGGAAAATATAGCGCAAAGGCCGTGAGTGGTCGGAACAAACGTGTGTTTGCTCTTAGTTCTTTTAATTATTCGAAAATCTATTATCTTAGCTCCTTCTGTATTTGAATTGGTAGCACTGGAAAGGGCCGTTTGTTTGTTAATTGTTGGCCCTTTAAAAGGGCCTTTTGTTTTTCAAATGGTGGCCCTGAAAAGGACCGTTTGTTGTTTTTTTTCCTGGTGTACATCGAAAGTGTTGTTGGAGTTGGAAGGGTACGGAACGAATAGGTATTAATCGCTGTTGCCTTTTGGCGCTCCTTTTATTTTGGCGCTATTTGTTGATATTGCTGTTGTATTTGCTTCAGTGGATGGAAAACACGAGGGAAAACTAACACGAAATGCATAAACGTGCTACCAATTGGGTTCTTTAAGGGTATTGAGGTAAATGCATATTCGTAATTGCATTAAAAATGGAACCCAAACCCAAAATTTCATCAATTGTGGTACACTGGAACTATTTTAAGTAAGTACGATTACATTTGCAAAAATCACCTTATTAGTGCCCCTCGGTGTCACTTTGTATGGGAGCGAGCTGTCAGTTTTTTAGTTTA